CATAAACAATTAAAAATAATTACAAAAATAAATGGCAATAAATACATATTTACAAGCTTTCAGTCATACTTGATGCATAATTTTTAGGTAATTTATTTACAATAGGAGGTTATGTTGGGTTGATGGTAACTGACTAGATCGTAACTGAAGATAAAATATTTTTTTGAAACATCATTCCTTACATATCTTCTTGCCACAGCGATATGTAGTCTAGCAGTTCTTCGTCATCTGCCGATGTATTCGAATATTCTTCATAGGATTGCTCAAATTTGACTGCCGCGCTATGTGAATTGATATTTGGAGCATACACTGGAGAATGTTGATAACTTTCTGTACTGTAGTTTGAGGAACCAATGGACGCAGCCGGCGAAATCATTTGCATATTTTGTGGTAATTGATGTTGTTGATTCTCCTTGCCAAAACTACCCGCATAGCTTAGACCATAGTAATCATGTTGTTGTTGCGGTATTTGATAATAATTAGAGCCAGACGGTACCGCTGAATACAGAAATTGTGTTGGTGGGGGCGTGCTGCTAGTAGAAGAACCACAACTATTATATGAACTCACACTGCCAGCATCACTATCCACTTCGTCAATGACATGCTGTAAACGTCTTATGTATTCCACAGCCATGCGTAAAGTATCCACTTTGCTTAGTTTCTTATTTGCACCAGGTCCAATGCCACGGCGCCCATTGCTTAGATCCGCCACAATTGCTGGTGGTATGTGTTGTCTCAAATTCAGAAAACCATTATTGACTTGCTTAACACGATTACGTTCACGTGCGTTACGACGTATTACCGATGGGTTATTAGAATCCAGAGTGGTGCCCGTGCTCATTGCAATTGGTTTCGTATAAGGCATTGCAGTGTACGAAGAGCGTGCCGTTATTGCAGGTGCAATACGCCTGTGCTGTGGCTGATGCACCGTGCGAGTTTTCAAGATTTGGTGTGTAGTTTGCTGTTGTCTTTGGTATAAGTTATTTTCACTGCCAAGCGCCATTTGTGTATTGTGTATTTTGTTATAAAATAATATGAATTTAAAACAAATTACTTATATTTTATTTTGTTAAGATTTAATATCTTTACTCTAAGACAGTCTTAGTCCTACTGTTGCCCTTTCCGATGCGTTGTCGGTATTTGTACCATTTTGCTCTGCCACCGCCACCACCATGCAAAGGTATGCCTATTTACCTGTTCTGCTTGTGCAAGACATCAGCAAAGGTACTTTAAAAGAGTCTGATAAGTACAATATTATATCAGATCACATGAGAAAAGGATCGATCGCACATTACAGAAAAGAAGAGCATCCCTTCTTCGAAAGCGTATCATATCAGTGCTCTTCATCAGTACGTTT